ATCTGAACATTTCAATGATTCGCTCTGTGTGCAGGAAGTGGCCATAATGACAAGTAAAACTGAATGCCGTGTTGCCGCAACACTGCCTGCAATAAACTGGGATGAAGGAAACAACAAGTTAAGGCAAGTTCAAAAGTAAGCAGAAAAGAAACGTATGAAAAACAAACCGTAGAAACAAGCAGAGTGATCTCAAGACCAAGGACACGAAAAATACCACATACTTCGGCAAGAAGGAACAGATACAGACATCAGCAGTTGTAGATTAGTAGTTGTGCAGTAGCAGTAGGAGTAGCAGAAGTAGCACTAGAAATCCCAGTAGCAGTAGTAGTCGTAGTTGTCATTTGTAGTAGTAGTACTGGTGGTGGTACTCATAGAAGAGGAAGTCCAAGAACAGGAATACAAAGGAGGCGAAAAAGGCAATAGAGGAGAAGGAGGAAGAAGAGAAAAGGTGAACATGCACTATGTCACAATTGTCACAGATCTGGCAGAAGGACTGACAATGTCTTGCAAATTGTTTCGGCGGTAAGGTCCAATGGGGTGCAATGTGTTTTTTGGTGTAAACACCTGCCTGACGCATTGTCACAGTAGCGGAAAGTTCACTATACATGGTTGACCTTGACTGAGAGCATTTGAGAGCATGGGCAGTGAAGCAGCAAGAAACTGTGCTTCTGATCTTTAAGAATTTTAAGATGGAACGGAGACAACACAAACAGAAACGCATGTTCAGACAATTTCAGTCACATGTTCAAACTGTCCACCTAGGTTGCCAAAGTCGGAATTGCCAAAAGTTGCACAAGAACTGAAGCGAAGGCAAAACTGGGCAATGAATGTACCTCACAATTTGGTGCATGACTCATTTTGCATTTTAAAATATGTGACTGATTTTGATTCCCATTGAATTCTTTTATGACCTGTTGGTGGTCCTTCGAGGCCTTTCAGGCTTTTAATATCGAGACTACAGTTGCAGCATTCTAGGTCATGACCCGTACAGTTTCTTTCCCAGTCTTTGTGGTCGGTGCAGGTGAGGTTTCGTCCCAATTTGATTTTTGAAGTTCCTTAGCATGTCGTGTTGTCATACTGGGTCTTGAACCGCCATCTACATTGAATCTGCAATGTACAAACAACTTGTGCATCTCTCACTGCCAGGACATGGCAGCCAGGGCAGATTCTTGTGAGCATCTTGGACAACAGCCATGATCTTGAGGAAAGGTATCCTCTACTATCATTTGACAAAAGTAGTCAAACTTAAGAGACCTGCTGAATCACAAGGTTGTGAATTCCCTTGCCCATCATTCAAAGCTCCCGGCAACAATGACAACACATTCATTCACTCTGACTTCATTGGCCACCACTTGCCAGTTGTCAAATTTGGAACCTTTTCTGTTCTTGGGAACAGGGTCGAGGGGCCAAAGTCTAATGATTCATAGTAGGTGCAAGGTGAGAGGCCATGGTCTCATTCGACAATCAAGAACAGCCAGAAGTTCAGCAATGTCAACGAAGCCACAATTGTTGACCAAGGACAGGGCGAGATGGGCAACCAAGCTTCATAGCTTCGCGCGAAAGAGTTTGAGTTGGTTGAAACTCTTTGACTTTTTTGTGAGGGCGCTTGTTGCAAGCCATGTGCACTTCTTTGCCCTCGCGATTTTGCACATGCTTAATCTGACTGCTGTGACTCTGCATACCTTGAAGCTTTTGAACGCGGTGTCAACACCTTGATACTTTGAGGTAGAGCCCTTTTTTTGATTGAATGCGGAGAGTGCAAAGTTGTGACGTGTGCTAATCTCAGCTCACGGAACGGGTAGCTTCCAGCCTTGGACATTAAAATCATTAAATCTGATTCAACCTGGTTCAATGCGAATTGATCTGACTCACATGATGACTCGACCCATCCTGCCTCGTGCTTTGATTTCGAGGTGAGAAGCCTGGTGCACCTGATGTTGTCCGTGCGACCTTGGTGGAGGGCGATTACTTTGGAGGTCACACTTTGATCACAGAACGTCTCTCGCTGGAAATGAACGGGCAAGCTACGGTCAGAGGAAATGTGAAGCATTGGAAATGTGGATGTACATCAGCCATGTTCAGATGCAAAGGCATTGCAAAGCAATGTAGAAGCGGCATGGAAGTCCATTTCTATTTCCAGTGATTTGGAAGTCCCCACGCTGAAAGAGCACTCCCATTCTTGTTGTGCTTTGTGCTGCTTTGCACCTATGCGAGATTTGCAGCTTCAGCTCGCCACAGCTAAGGTTCCAATGCGTGGACCTCAATGCATCATTTTGGCACCATGCAGTATGTTGTTGGATATTACATTGTGCAGTATGTCATTGGACTATGCTATATATGTATATATATATATATACATGCATATTATGTACAGAACATGTCGTTACATTGTATCACTGCATTTCATTCCATTACTTTGCATCACACTACAATGCTTTACTTTGCGTTGCAGTACCCTGCATTACAGTACATTACATTTCATTCCATTTCATTACTTTGCATTGCATCTACATTGCGTTACATTGCATTGCGTTGCATTGCCTGACGTTGCATTACATTACTTTACAGTACATCACATTGCGTTAAATCGCATCAAGTACATACGAACATACACATGGACATACATACGTATGTACAGACTAAATCTTTATGTGTACATACATCCGTACATACATCCATACATCCATCCATTCATACACACACACACATACAATGATACATAAATACATAGATACATTTCCTCATGCATACATTCAAGATAAGTATACAGTAGATACATTTTTACATCTGTACATATATATATATATGGATATTATATGTATAAACATATGTACACAATTTGAAATACATACAGACCTATACATCCAGATATATGTGAGTTATCCTGGTGCTTTCTGCGGAAGGATCACCTATGCTCCCAACATTTTGTCCATGTAATGAACGACAAATCTGGGCATCATCCACAGTGCATCACAGTGCTCTTTGAGAGCTGAGGTTGCCACAATTGTTGCGAGTGGAGGGAAGAATCTTGCTGCTTAGTCGCACAGTCATCCAGGAACGATGTATATATTATATATATAATACATAAATCAATACATCTGCTACTGTATATATGTATATTTATGTTTATTCTACATGTATGTGTATACATTCTTCCTACGATGCCCTTAAAAGAATGACATGTATCTGTGTGTTTTATTGACCGCTCAGCAGGATGAGAGCGTCAAAGCATCCCCCACAACGACTATGAGCATTTGTGTAGATACACCATGCCAGAGATATTCGTGTGGGCCATAGGCTCGCATGTGTACATCATGGTATATGAAGATGTCTCTGTGCAGCAGGTGTCCATGTATTTGCAACACAAATACACCTAGGAAAATACAAACACACATACACACAGGCATATGTATATTTCACCTAGATCCTGGCAAAGATACTGATAGGACAAGAGAAAAATAGGAGAACGACAAACCCCAAACTACACGGGGGTACGCTAATTTGTTTTTTTTGCAGACAAGTGTAGTAGGAGGAAACAACTTTTTTCCTGGGGTTGGAAGGTGCCCCTGGACTTACTGGTAGAAAGTCATTCTTGCAAGCTTCCATGATTTGAAGTCTTGTAATGTGATGCACGACCGTGTGTGAAACTGTGGTTGTGTACGTACTGCCAAAGACATATCACATGCAGCAGCGTAGAAGCAGGAAAGTTTAGCCGCTGTTTTTAATGGTTCTCCTCACCAAAGATTTGTACTTCAAATATTTCAAGAGGGTTCCTGTGGAGAAGTCCGTTTCTGCTTGGTCATCGGGTTGTCCCCTTTTTTCAGTATTCCCCCCTGAGGTAACTCTGTCTTTGTCCAGGGATCGATTTGATGCTCTCGGCCTCCGACGGTGGTCGCTTGGTTGATGTTTTGAGACTTTCTGGATGGAGCTCCTGCTGGTGCTGTCGAAGGCAACAAGCAAGCATCCAGATGCATCCAGAATCCAACAGTTTTTGTTAGCCTTTATCATCAGCATTTTAGAAATTTGAGAAGTATTCAGGCTTCAATTTCCGAAACGACCAGCAATCTACAATGCTCCGCAGGACACTGTAAGTGAAGCATGGTTGCATGGCATAAATGATTTTTCTTGTTCACACATCCTTTGTATATGCATTTTGTATCGTGCATCTCTTAATTCATCGGTTCACAGTTGATTCTCAAGAGACTCAGCAGAATCTCACCATGTCCAGGAGGTCCGAGGAGATGACATGAAGGACGTCCAGGAATTACCGCTGGAAGAGGTAATGTTTGTTTGCAAGGCTGGGCAAAAACCCTGAATTTTCGTAAATCCATCACTTGACAACATAGCCCCCACATATCAAATTTGCGAAAAGAAATCATTCTCCACCTGCTTTCATTCCCTTTGACAATTGTGGACCTGATGAATGCTTCAATACAATTTGGTGCGGACTATGGAGGTATGTACAGTCGGAGAAGCTTGTGGAAGCAAGCTGAGCATTTTGCTTATACCTTCTTACTGTTTCTCTCAGGCAATCAGTGAGAATGCCAACCTCAGCTGCTTGCCCTTACTGTTTGTTGTTTTGGTTTCCTTGCACCCTTACATTGACCGAGATACTTACCATTTTTTGTCAACATGCGATTAAGATCCAACGAGAGGGCTTTGGTTGACACAGTTGACACATTTTGGACAGCCTTCATGGCCTTCATCCTAGTTTGGAAACGTTGGAAGTGTTTGCAGTAGATTTAGTTGACAGAAAAGGGTCAAGCTTCGGTCCCGCCACTTCTTGGGGACGAATCTACCGAATCTACCGGCTTTAGTCTACCTACGTTGTCCTGCTTTCGTCTACCTATGTTGTACCATGTTGTACCTACATGGCAAAAGTTTCACTTGTTGCCACACTTAGGAGCGCTACTGGCGGCAAGTGAAAATAAACTCAAGGAGCTGGCAGCTGGTGCTGCTATGAGCTTACATGACTTACATGTGTTCCGTCAATGGGATCATTTCAAACCAATGCGTCCACATGGGAAATCCGTGAAACGATGCTGAAAAGTGCTGATGCAAGGAAACACATGAACAAACCAACAAGTCTTTGTGGTGATGTCAGAGAAAACCAAGGTTTTGACACATGTCAAGAAAGGATCTCCAATCGTGCAACTTGACCGCGTTTTTGCCTTGATTCAATTTGTTTGTTTGCTTTGTTGAATTTGAACAAAGGGACCTGCTCTCCCTCTCTCTCTCTCCCCTCTCTCTCTCTCTCTGTCTCTGTCTCTGTCTCTGTCTCTCCCTGTACATAAATTTGCACGCTCTCGTCATTGAGTGCTTTATTAATCCTTCCTTTGGGATTGTTTTTTTCGCATGAACATTGCAAGGCGGTCAGGGAATGTGGTTCGGCAGCTAATCATCATCAAGGAGGGCACAGTGAGTGTTTCTGGATTGCAGGGAATGCACAGCAGAATGCTATAATGTGTTTAGACTGGAGGGAATGCGATCATGCTCTTCAGTCGGTGTTTTGGACAACCCAAGTTCGAACAGAACAATAAGAATTGACAACCCAAGTTTGAGCACTTGCGGTTCTTCAGACATTTGGAAAGGTTCCGACACCACTTCGTTTCGTTGGCATAGCTCTTCTGTTCAGCCTATCAGTTCCATGCGATCAATGCGATTCATTCCAGTTGTACTTCAGCCCCCTGCATTTTGCACATTTATCGAATTCGAGTGTCAAGACTCTTAAAATATACCGTCAGCCATGGGGAGATGACACACACACACACACAGAGGCATGCAGGAACTGCATGGAACTGTTACAATGGCTGGACTTAGCATGACAAAGATCGATGCAGAATGGCAGTTGAAGATCCACACATCTTCTTTGAGACATGCTTCCTGATTGCTTCCTGATTGCTTCTGGCTTCCTGCGCCTGAGGCAGTCATTGAAACACAAACCTCTTCAGGGCATCAATCAGTGACCTGTCTTGATGGATGCGCGAAAAAACATGCTATCAATGCCTTGGTACAGGTATTTACAGGTTGATAAGGTTATATGGTAGTTAATAGTGACAATACTACCTGTACTACCTTAATTTGTGTGTCTGGCATGCAATTAGGCTGCTTGATCCAGAGAACTCTGCGACTTATTTCGCAGCATAGAAGGGTTCCATGTGCATTGGCGCTCCAGATTTTAGATTTTGTCAAGAGATTTTCTGTTAAAGTGCCTGAAGCAGGCAGAAGCTGCTGTGGCCACTTCGACGATGACTGAACGAATGCTGCGGAAACAGAATTTTTTGGCCCAGCTGCAAAGAAGAGCGACGCTGGGCAACACCCACGAAAATGTGGTGCATGGACGTGCATGTTAATTCCATGCTCTCTTTGTACTTGTTTGCTGCAAGTACATACCAACCCTTACTGTAGCCGTGCCAAGGAAGACCCACACGACTGCATCTCTATACGTTAAGACCTCAGCAGACTCACAACCTGAGCTTGACAGTGGAACTGCGAATCCAGGCATAGGTCAGAGCATCAACTAAGGTTGGCAGTACTGGCAAGAGCCCCCGCGATCAGAAATCTGAAGGTTGGTGCAGTTGGGTGCAGCTGGCAGTCAAGCTCACTGGAAGTGACATCATATAGGTTTGCGGAATGGTGTTGCATCTAATTTTGCTTAGACGATGTCCAGCGACGATGTTATGCACGCATAGAAAAGTATAACTATTGACAATATCAGTAGTATCTATCCATCTATATATCTGTCTGTGTCTGTCTGCCTGCCTGCCTGCCTATCTAATCTAATCTAAGGTAATGTAATGTAATCTAATAAGATCTAGTATGATCAAAGCATATCTTGTCTTATCCTGTCTGTCTATCTGTCTATCTATCTGTCTATCTATTTGTCTATCTCTCGATCTATCTGTCTATCTGTCTATCTACCTATCTTTTTATCTTTTTATCATTATTTTTTTCAATCATCTTTCAAATATTTCAAATCTTTAAAATCTTTTTTCTAATCAATCAATCAATCAATCACTCTATCTATCTATCTGCCTATCTGTCTATCTGTCTATCTGTCTATCTGTCTATCTATCTAACTATCCAATCTATCTATCTGTCTATCTGTCTATCTGTCTATCTATCTATCTATCTATCTCCTATCTCTCTGTCTATCTATCTATCTATCTATCTGTCTATCTATCTATCTATCTATCTCTCTCTCTCTCTCTATCTATCTATCTATCTCTCTCTCTCTCTCTATCTATCTATCTATCTATCTATCTCCTATCTCTCTGTCTATCTATCTATCTATCTGTCTGTCTATCTATCTATCTATCTATCTCTATCTATCTATCTATCCATCTATCTATCTATCTCCTATCTCTCTGTCTATCTCTCTATCTATCTATCTATCTATCTAATCTAAATCTAATCTAAATCTAATCTAGCCTAATCTAAATCTAATCTAATCTAATCGAATCTAATCTAACTATTCTATCTAATCTATCTAATCTATCT